TAAGGTGAAGGGAAAGGTTTACAGGATGGTTGTGAGACCAGCCGTGATGTATGGTTTAGAGACACTAACAATAGGCAAAAGACAGGAGGCGGATCTGGAGGTAGCAGAGTTAAAGATGCTAAGATTCTCCTTAGGAGTGACAAGGATGATCAGGATCAGTAATGAGGTCATTAGAGGAACAACACAGACAGGGAGGTTTGGAGAACAAGTTAGAGAAGCCAGATTGAGATGGTTTGGACATGTGCAGAGGAGGGACAGTGGATATATTGGTAGGAGAATGCTAGAGATGGAGCTACCAGGTAGGAGAAAAAGACAAAGGCCAAAGAGGAGATATATGGATGTAGTGAGGGAGGACATGAAGATAGTTGGAGTCAGAGTAGAAGATGCAGAGAACAGGGAGAGAAGGAAAACAATGATTTGCTGTGGCAACCCCTGAAAAAGGGACAAGCCGAAAAAAGAAGAAAAAGATATATACAGTATATATATATTTCATAATGTGTGTATTTATATTTGGGATGTCCAATAATATCGGCCCAATATTAGCATAATTATGTAATTTCTGTTTTGGGTGCACAACAGATTCTCTGGAATGGTTGATATCAAAATCAATATCGGCATATCTAATATCAGCAAAAGTCAATATCTGACATTCCTAATTTATATATATAGATACAACTTTGTACCACTCAATGCATCAACGAATCAGTTTTTCTGTCAGTGCCCTAATATATGTACAGTATATGTGTATATATGTATACATATATTATAAACTATGTATGTATATGTGTATATGTAAGAATATATTTTCCTTTTTTACAATTGTGAGGCAATATGACCAAGACACAGTGTCTGAATTTGTTGCCAATTGTTACTTTCTACTTAAGTTTGGGTAAAAGTTCTCTCTTTGTGCCATTCATTTAGGCTGAAGTGCCACAACAAATGCACCAAAGAAGCCCCACCTTGCCATTTACTGATCATACAGCGAGGAGGACGAGAATCTCTCAAAGGTATCGTTTTGCTCCGTGAAACCTTTTTCCATAGAAAGTTAAAATTTCACTTTGGATTCTACAGTCGTTACATTCTTTGGAGCAGTTAATACACTTAAAAGCTTTTCCTTTATCTCCAGTCTGTAGTGACTAACGTGGCTTGTCAACTCCTCACGTTAAATTACCCCTCTGTGTGTCACCCCATAAATTGCATTTGGTGAACGGGTCGTTTATTTCCTGACAGTCCGTCTGACTGGACCAGACTTGTTAAATCTGCTGTCTAGACCAGACTAACCTGGTGACAGGCAGATGGCGTTTGGGTTATTTTTTTTTATTAAACAAACTAGTTTAGAAAATTATTTAATTAATTGATGAATTCTGCCTGAGAGAGAAATGGGAAAAATACTTTGAAATTGCCTCAAAACAAAATAAAATGAACGGATGGAGTTTAGTTTGTTTGTCATACTACCTGCAAACAAATACAAAAAATATGACATAGCAATAGCATCATCCTTTAGCCAGATGGTTGTGGGATCGATTCCAGATGTGGGATCTAGTCTAGATACTGCCCCCTGTTGGTGTTGTCAACGGTATAGAAGTGGTAGAACCTGTAATGCTGAGCTGTTCAAATAGTGGCCTGAGGGGCACATGCAGCCTCAGAATGGCCAAGTCTGTTGTCGTTTGAGAAAAGCGTAGAGAAACTGAAAATCCCAATACCTGAGAAAAGCCAACAACAAGCCTAGCTTAGCAACAGGCAACCATTGAACCCCGGCTTTCAAACCGAGCAGTGTGTTATAGGACTGAAAACAAATGTTACTCAATTTATTCATATGTTTTAGTCCATATTTTGTTGTTACCTCTTGTTTATCAGCTTAAGAAAATTGCTCTGCAGTAGTGTAGTAGTATTTTCTTTTTTCATGTTGCCACACATTTTAAAAAAGAACAGATCTATAACTATTAACATTTTGCTTAATGGCACTAAAAACACATTTAAATATCAATTAAAATCTCACTCTGACTCTTTAAACTGCAGTTTATCACACAAATATACACTCACCGGCCACTTTATTAGGTACACCATGCTAGTAACGGGTTGGACCCCCTTTTGCCTTCAGAACTGCCTCAATTCTTCGTGGCATAGATTCAACAAGGTGCTGGAAGCATTCCTCAGAGAGTTTGGTCCATATTGACATGATGGCATCACACAGTTGCCGCAGATTTGTCGGCTGCACATCCATGATGCAAATCTCCCGTTCCACCACATCCCAAAGATGCTCTATTGGATTGAGATCTGGTGACTGTGGAGGCCATTTGAGTACAGTGAACTCATTGTCATGTTCAAGAAACCAGTCTGAGATGATTCCAGCTTTATGACATGGCGCATGACTCATCAGACCAGGCAACGTTTTTCCAATCTTCTATTGTCCAATTTCGATGAGCTTGTGCAAATTGTAGCCTCAGTTTCTTGTTCTTAGCTGAAAGGAGTGGCACCCGGTGTGGTCTTCTGCTGCTGTAGCCCATCTGCCTCAAAGTTCGACGTACTGTGCGTTCAGAGATGCTCTTCTGCCTACCTTGGTTGTAACGGGTGGTTATTTGAGTCACTGTTGCCTTTCTATCAGCTCGAACCAGTCTGGCCATTCTCCTCTGACCTCTGGCATCAACAAGGCATTTCCGCCCACAGAACTGCCGCTCACTGGATATTTTTTCTTTTTCGGACCATTCTCTGTAAACCCTAGAGATGGTTGTGCGTGAAAATCCCAGTAGATCAGCAGTTTCTGAAATACTCAGACCAGCCCTTCTGGCACCAACAACCATGCCACGTTCAAAGTCACTCAAATCACCTTTCTTCCCCATACTGATGCTCGGTTTGAACTGCAGGAGATTGTCTTGACCATGTCTACATGCCTAAATGCACTGAGTTGCCACCATGTGATTGGCTGATCAGAAATTAAGTGTTAACGAGCAGTTGGACAGGTGTACCTAATAAAAAAATATGATTACAGCGGTCCCTCTCCTATCACGGTAGTTGCGTTCCAAGAGTTCCAAAGTGGTGGCGAGATAGTTATTATATTATTAACCTATATATTTACCCTTTACGAACCCCCCCCCCCCCCCACACTGTTATCAACTCTCCCTTGACTGTATTACCCTTTCGCACACAATTATATGCACAGCAGAGTTGTAGAATGGCGACGCAGAGCGAAGTGAACAAGGCCGACAGACAATGGTCACAGAGCATGCTCAAATAGCCAATAGTACACAGAGTACGCATTGTATTAGCCAATGGTATGCTGTGTACGATCTTGTCTAGCTAAACAAAGTTACCAGCGATCATTCGCCAATGCTTATCTCAATTTCAAAACGAGAATACACAGAACCGTGATATAGAGAGGGAACACTGTACACTGAAAAAAAAAGCTCACCTGCCGTCAGAAGTGACATTCTTCTGTCATCTTTCCATCTCCCCCTCCATCCCTCCCTTCATCCCTCCTGGCTTCCCCCAATTAAACCAAATTAAATTAATTAAAGCAGTGATTTTGTACGGATGGTCTCCTTGAGGATTTTTCAAACAGCGTGCGACGACTTTGATCACTTCCTCATCATGAACCTGCTCTGATCTTATGCTCTACCTGATTTCCTAAAACTATTAAACATACTTTGTTTGATCTTTGCCTCCCACAGTGTTTGATTACCAACCTGTGCTTGTTGTCCTTCCGTAGTAGCTCGGCTGGTACGAACGGAATCAGTGCCATGTGACATCAACAACCCTCTTAAGTACACCGACCTGCACATCAGTCAGACGCTCCCCAAAACCAACAAAATCAACAAGGTAAATCAAAGAAATAACCTCGTTATATGAGCGTTGGTTTGATACCTGTCCTACGTACTGCGACAACTGCTGATAAATGGTTCTGAGTCACCCACTTTCTTCCAGGGGTTTGTGGAAATATATGAAAATATCTTGGCTTGTTTATGTTCACTTTTTCTTTTCACCCACTGAATGACTTCCAGCACATAAACAGATGATGGAAACTGTGCGTACCACACAAACATGTAAATGTGCTACTATTCTAGATACATGAACTGATCGTTTTTAAAAACGTGTACGTCAATAAATTGTTTGATGGAGTGACACGCCAACATCCAGCTGATCATCATTGTAATAACAATTTACACAGATTGGAAAACAATAGATCAAATGAGTTTGACACCCTAATACATTCTCTGTGGATGAGCCTTAAAGAAGTCAGTAAAAAACATCTAAGACGAGGTAAAAAAAAGAAAAAAATGCACGTCTGAGAAGTTTTTGACCTATACCTTGTTTTGCCTTTTCTTGAGTGTATATTGACTGATATGACTGATATAACAGCCATAAAGAACAAAATGGAGCTGTATACAAACAACCTTGGGTTTTATTCAATGCCATTAGGCCATCATTACATTCAGCCATTATTAAAGTTGTAATTAAACTGAATCCAGACAGTGATTACGATGAAAGCCCGATTCAATAAATTTCACTTGAATGATGTGAAAATGTCACATCATTCACAATCTCAGCCCATAAAAGAATTGCTTTGCAGTTTCTCAACACAAAAAAGTTGATTAATAAGCCAAGGTCTTGGTGGGATCAGATTGATTTAAGTGAACAGCTGGAGCTCTCAGAGTCATCTGATTGAGGACGATATGCCAAAGCATGATGGGATTATAAATGTAAAGTAGTTTATCTGATTCATTTACAGCAGAACTATGTTTTCAGAGTAGCTAGAAATGCACCCCTAGGTATACTTCAAAAAGTGCCTTCCTTTGCAATAAAACCCCGACTTTGTCAGGGTGAAAAATGCAACGTATCGTACGTTGTGATGGATCACCCTTGTAGTTTCACGTCTACATGAATGGGAGAAAAATCAATCTCTAAATTTGAATGGTGACAGAGAAAAGCTAAGAATAAAGCACAGGTACGAGCACATGTACAAGAAATTTACAACAGACTGAGTTATATCACAATCCAGCTAATGCTAAAGAGTAACCAACCCTTCTGGTTGAATCTTTTCTGCCTCCTTAGGATCACATCCCAGTTCCGAACCACCCAGACTCTAGCAGTAACCCTTCATCCACCACCTCATCCACGCCATCCTCTCCGGCGCCTCCCTTGCCCAACAGTGCAACCCCTCCCTCACCACTACACCCTTCTCCACAGTCAGCACGGCAACAGAAGCAGTTCAACCTGACAGGTTTGTTTGATGGGTATTAAACTAGAGAGATTAAAGTTGTATCTATTATTGTAGAAAGAGATGTCTACAAATGAGGCAGACCAGGACACACTTCTCAGTCTCAGGGGATTTATTGTATTAAAGGTTTCTGACCATGGCAGGTCCAACAATGAATCTCATCTGAACATTCACCAACAAATCCCACCTTTTGATACATGCTGATCCTTCTTACAGACATAGACAAACATGGTGTTACATAACGTTTGGCTCATATTTGGCTAGTAACCAGATAAACAGGTTCATTTACCCAGGTCAGTGTGACCTGTTCTTGTCTGTTATTCTGAGTTGGCCCTTACATATTATTTTACCATATTTCTCCACCACATTTTCCTATGAGAAAATCTGTTGTCGCAATTGACGTTTTCCTAGTTTTTTTTTTTTTTGGGGAAACATTTTTGACCAAGGTTACAGATTACATTTATTTTAAAGCACTAGCATATGGAAATTGTCAAACCACTACTTAGCTTTTAAATGGTGACTTGGCAACACAAGGGAAGGGCAGCCACATGCTGTATGCTAACAAACACACAAACCCATATAATACTACACAATATATTCCCCATTAATCCAAATAGTCAAAAGCTCTCGTGGCATTATCAGTTAAAATGTAATGATCACGTCTTGCTTTTGTTTATGTTCTGAAAATCTCACTTATATTCACATATATGTCTACTGTTTAACCAGTACTTTGAAATTGTTCTTTCATCTCTTTGGTTAAAACGGAGGAAAAGGTTGATGCCAAAGAGCGTCCAATGTAACTTTGTTCAAACATCATTCTATTTTCATTTTATTTTTCCCCTGAATGAAACGAAGAGCCCATGTTTCCGGCTGACTTTCAGAAGAGTGCTTGTAATTCAAGGTAGAAAAACAACAGGCTCTGAAGCTGAGAATCCACTTGACGTCAGTCCTGAAGTCATATGGAGCACTAAATAATCTGAACGAGCCCTGAGGGTGTGCATGTATTAAACTTTATTCTCTCAGACTATGACTCAGAATCACTAATGTGGACCTAATGTTGGTACAAGAGAATACGTCGGAAGGATACATTATCTTGAAGGCGGTGATTTACGCTGAATCTTTATGCCCACCCAGGAGTAGGTTGTTGGGATGCCGAGGAACGACAGACAAACTTCCCCATATGTCTTAAAACTTTATCCGTTCTATAAATACGTCAGCACCGCATGCAGTGAATCTGACGGAAATCTGTTAATTGATGAGGTGAAAAATCCAATATAAATACTTAATTTGAAGGAGCGATGTGGTGAAATATCTGTGCGCGCATATGTAGAATGCACTTTGTGAAGCAGAACTGGAACTCATTAAGCTTTTTGATTTTTGAATTTAGAGAAAGACAACATTGAACTCTATGACTCCAGATCAAACTAACATTCCTGTCTTCTGTCTCTCCCCGCAGCCTCGAGTTATTTCAAACTTTATTCGTTCTATAAATACGTCACCACCGCATGCAGTGAATCTTATGGAAAGCCATTAATTTATGAGGTGAAAAATCAAATATAAATACTTAATTTGAAGGAGCGATGTGGTGAAATATCTGTGCGCGCATATGTAGAATGCACTTTGTGAAGCAGAACTGGAACTCATTAAGCTTTTTGATTTTTGAATTTAGAGAAAGACAACATTGAACTCTATGACTCCAGATCAAACTAACATTCCTGTCTTCTGTCTCTCCCCGCAGCCTCGAGTTATTTCAAATACAAACAGCAGTTCATCTTTCCAGGTAAGGCTCTCCTACAGTAATTGATCATTATTCCCACCCACAGTGCACTGCGGCTAGCCTAGGCTAAGTGAAAAGAAGGACTCTTTTGATTTCTCTGCTAATTTCCATCTCCACATATCGGCCTTCTTGATGACTCTTGGCCTCGACACCCACTCGTTGCTTTTCCTATTCAAGGTGTCCCTAATGATTTGTCGATTTCTCTGGACTCTGCTGTTGTCCACACTGGCCTCTGCTCATTTAGCAGCTCATTACAGCTGAAACAAGCAGGAGTAGCATGAAGAGTTTATTTTTTTAAGACCAAATGCCTTTCTTCCAGATTTCTTTAGCTCCTGTTGAAAACACACTGATCAACTGTTCTTTACAGTTGGTGTACAAGCCGATGTTGAGTTCAGGTCTCGTTAAATCGACTGAACAGCGTGCACTGCTGTGCTTGTCACAGCTGCAGCCACAGGTTTTATCATTTCAATGCTTGTCAAAGATATACGTACCTCAATCCTTGCAAATGTTATTCATAAAAAAAAAACAATTCAGGTTTTTTTATTTTTAGTATAAGTAAGTATAAATGTATTTGACCATAAGCAATTACTATTGTTGATTATGACAAAATTAGCATTTTACATTACATCACATTTTACAAATCTAGGTGTTTAGTCAAATCGTAAATTAAAGGGTACGACTCAGGTCTTCAGATTGTACCTCACCTGAAAGCTAAACTGTTAGATTTGGTAAAGAAAGAGGTTTGCCGTGGTTGGGAGTTGGATTCCTCAGATTCAAATGTTCCCCAACGTGACGAAGTGACAAGTTCCTTTAACTTCACATGAAGGATGTAGTACCTTTAAATGTGTACTGCAGTTCTGTTAGAGAGTTTTATTAAAACCAGTCCTAGAAAAATTCCATCTACTCCAAAAAACATGTTTGACATTACATTTTAAGGTCATTTTAAGTACAGTAACAGGATATTTAAATTCTCTTAACGTTTTAGAGATATTTTTGATATTATCTATCTATTATCTATTTAAGAATAGAAACAACTGCAGTTTGTTGATGTACTGTATTAGATCCATGAACTGTTTATCTGGTGACTATAAGGGTGGAGTACATCCCACATCTTTTTTTTTTTTCTTTTTTTTTTT